CCAAGGGATGAAAAATAAGTGGCCTAAAACCGGTGAGAAAACTAGATTTGGGGGGACCCTAGGTTGATCTCTATTATGGTGTGCTCCCCCAGTCTGAAAGTAGTTCCCGCGCCCCTGACTTTCTCTACGCTATTGAATCACGCTGCTGATTATAGTATCTACTACGCAACCTTCTCACATTAATTTTTCTTCAAGCGTTTTAGGGGCCAAAAGATATGTTGGCCCCCTCTTTCAGGCTTTTGGGGGGCCATGGCCCCGGTGGCCCCCCTGGATCCGCCAGTGGGGGCGGTGCCCCCACAACTTTCAGACGGAATACCGTCCTTTTTTGCAACTGTTTCTTTTTTTGTTGAAAAAGCCAAGGGATGAAAAATAAGTGGCCTAAAACCGATGAGAAAACTAGATTTGGGGGGACCCTAGGTTGATCTCTATTATGGTGTGCTCCCCCAGTCTGAAAGTAGTTCCCGCGCCCCTGACTTTCTCTACGCTATTGAATCACGCTGCTGATTCTAGTAGGTATCTACTACGCAACCTTCTCACATTAATTTTTCTCCAAGCGTTTTGGGGGGGGGCCAAAAGATATGTTGGCCCCCCCTTTCAGGCTTTTGGGGGGGGCCATGGCCCCGGTGGCCCCCCCCTGGATCCGCCAGTGACCTCCGCCTCTGCCTTCATCACCACTGGCTCCACACCTTCCTCTGCTCCTCCTCCGCCTCTCTCCATCTCCTGCTCCTTCTCCTCCGCCTCTCTCCATCTCCTGCTCCTTCTCCTCCGCCTCTCTCCATCTCCTGCTCCTTCTCCTCCGCCTCTCTCCATCTCCTGCTCCTTCTCCTCCGCCTCTCACCATCTCCTGCTCCTTCTCCTCCGCCTCTCTCCATCTCCTCCTCCTTATCCTCCGCCTGTCCCAGCAGACCATGACCGGCTCACACGATTAGCTCCGGCTGATTAGCGGTGCTGGCAATTTGCCCAGAACACGGCGATAGCGATAGAACGCTGGACCGAGCATGACCGGACTGGGCTATGTCCGGTCAGGTTAGGTCGATACTGCCAGGTCATGTCAAGATAGGTTAGGTCGGGTCACGTTGGTCGTGGTAGATCGGCCCGCTCACGTCAGGTTAAGTTGGGCCCAGCCAACAAGTTGTATTCGCCGAATCGGGTCAGGTTCTGCCAGCCCAGCTCAGCTCGGCTCGCCTCGCCTCGGTCCCCGGCCCGTCCGTCCGTCCCGGGCGGAGAGCGCCGGGGCGGAGCTGTCGATCGGCGCGCGATGACCTTCCGCGGCCGGCGACCGGCCTCGCCGGGGGAGCGCGCTCCGAGCCGTCACCCGGCTGAGTGATGCAAATCGGAGGCAGCAGGGAGCGCCGCGCGCCGGCCCTGCGCCGAGCGGCGGCCGACGCAGCCGACACGACCCGGCGACCGAGCGAGAGGGATGCAAATCACCGGCACACGCCGCCGCCGAGGTGACGAACGTCGTGCGATCACGTGAGGCGTCGGTGACTGGCGAGTCCCCAGCCACCAGCAGCGCTGTCACAACATGTTTCACAACTGCTCCCATCAGTGGCCAGGCTCTGCTGAGTTCCATCAGTTTACGAACGAGGCCAGCCAAATACGGCACGGGTGCAGCCCACGGCGGCAGGGCCAAAATTGTCGGGCCGGCCCCGCCCGGAGGCGCTCCTGGGGCGGGGCTCGGCATCAGATCACCTCTCGGCGGGTAGAACACGGTCATCAGCTGTTCTACACTCGGCTCTGCACCGTTCGTAGGGAGTAGGGCGGCGGGCGGGTGCCGGGAGCTCTACCGAGCGGGCCGATACGATCGCGGAGGAAATACCGCACGTTCCGCGGCCGGTCCACGCACGAATGCCCGGTCCAAACTAACTGGACCGGGTTGGACCGGATCGGGCTGGACCAGACAGAGTTGGCTGGATTGGACGCATGTGACGCGGTAGCCACCAAATATTCGGTACTGTTATACACATCAATCCGTTGCCACTCCGTAAGGCCGTGGATTCTCGTCATTCAGTTGTCGAGAGCACTGGGCTCGTACAACGAACGTCACGGTACAAACACCAATGACAGGACAGTCCTGGCGAATGACAGATCAAACTGTAGAAACTGATTGCTGATTAATGATCCAACTGACTCAGAAGGTCTGCTCGGTCCGGCGGGTGGAGTGTTTATCTTGGGCAATGCAGCGCTAACAATCAAAAGGTACGATGAAATACCACGCCGTGATCAATTGATCATCAATCTCCCGGCCGTTTATTCAGGAGGACAGCGACGTTAATTATGGCCACGCCTGGGCATGAGCACAAACAAACGCCGGGCGTCTCAGAGCGCGACCGGCTGTGTCACAGACACGAGTCGCGACCCGCTGACCCTGTCATACACGGCACAGACACATGTCTCCGACTGGCAGCAGCGGGTCACATACCCGCGTCTGTGTTCACAGTTCCATGAATGTGACGGGTCGGCAGTGACCGCCACCTAACGACAGAGCGAAGGGCGTCCTGCGCCGCTCTCTGACCGGACGGCAGCAGGGGCCCAGTGAGAGTGACCTTCCTGACGCTCCTGTCTCTCCAAACCTGGCGCCGGCAGGCCAGGGTCACCGCCGTCCCACAGCAGGCCAGCCGGCTGGACACCGCCGTCCCATAGCAGGCCGACCGGACACCGCCGTCCCATAGCAGGTCAGCCGGCTGGACACCGCCGTCCCATAGCAGGCCGACCGGACACCGCCGTCCCATAGCAGGCCGGCCGGACACCGCCGTCCCATAGCAGGCCGGCCGGCTGGACATCACCGTCTCATAGCAGGCCAGCCGGCTGGACATCGCCATCCCATTCGCCTCGTGCATTGGAAACTACTTGGCGAGGAAATAGGATACCGAACTTGGCGCAGCTGCGACAAATTGTAAAAGCAACGGTAAAAAGCTTACAGAACCAGTTTGGGGTTGGAGCTGTTGGCTGTCCTTTGGGTTCGCTCTCAAGTTCTCGACTGAAATTTTTTTTACTGGTGTTGTTAGATAAGTTCACAATCTCCTGATATTTGCAATGACACGATATAAGAGCAATGTGATATGTGCAGTGCCGCAGTGCAGCGCCAGAACTCGACGTTGGAAGGTCAGCTTGCACATGGTGCCGAAGGAACCAAAGCTCAGGAAGCGATGGGAAATAGCTATCAGAACTGGGAAGAAGTTGACACCGAGCATGAAGGTATGCTCTCAACATTTCAAGGAAGAGGACTTCAAGCCCACAGGTGTGTATTTTAGTTTTCACTTAATACATGTAACTTTCCTTGGAGTTTTCGCCAAGGTTTCTAGGATTATCTGACAGGGAGCAGGGATGTTGGTACCTCGATCTTGTTTGTATTTTTGTGCATTGTTGAAAGGTTAGGAATTGGTCATGAATCACTGTGGTTTTGAAAGAAAGCAATTTTTTTCACTGTGGAGTTGGAGAAGTCGTGAAAATGTTACTATCTTAGCAAGCGACGAGGGTTAAAGGAACTTTTCGTTCAATGTTTTTTGCATAACATTTAACAGCGTTGTGACTTGTGAGACCAAGAGACAAGGTACCTATAAGATACCAAGGTGTAAACAAATATTTTTTCTCAGTAGTGATAATATTCCCTGTCTTTTTCAGTGAGTTCCCGCATGAAAAGGTACCTCAAAGAAGATGCAGTTCCATCTCTCAATCTTCCTGTGAGATCATGTGACGGGCCGACAACATCGGAAAGTGCAGCAAGGAGGGCAGAGAGGATACAGAAGAGAGAACAAGGTTTTGAACAGCTTCCTCATGCTGAAGATGATGAGGAACAAAGTGTCAATATCATGGATGAGTTACATGATGTGTTAAAACAGGACATCGGAGTGCAAGTGTCATTGACTGAGATGGTGTCTGGTCGCTTGAACCTTTTTTCACTTCTTGATTCAGATCAAAAGTTGAGTGTTATGACTGGCATTCCATCGTTTGATATCCTTTCTTCATTAGAGAAACTGGTGCAGGTAGAGCTACCATCTGTGCGAGATGTGGAAAGGGGAATCATTGTGACAATGATGAGACTTAAAAGAGGTCTTACATTCACTGCTCTGGGTGTGCTCCTTGGCACTGATAGGAGCACATGCAGTAGACTCTTTGCCACAGTACTCCCTGTGCTAGCTGGTATCATGAAAGATGTGTTGTCATGGCCCACAAAAGACCAGGTTGCCAGGAACATGCCAAAGTGCTTCCATCAATTTCGCAAAGTGCGGGTGGTCCTTGACTGTACTGAGGTATCTGTGGAGAGGCCCAACTGCCTTGATTGTCGCATATCATCCTACTCTCACTATCATGGTGGTGAGAGTGTCAAAGTCATGATTGGTTGCTCCTCTGCTGGTACAATCACTTTTGTGAGTGATGCATATGGAGGGAAGGCATCTGACAAAAAAATATTCAATGGCAGTGACCTTCTGGGGAAATTAGAACCTTATGTAGATGCTGTCATGGTTGACAAGGGCTTTATGATTGATGATGAATGTTTATTCAATGCCATTGAACTTGTCCGTCCTCCTTTTTTGAAGAGTAGCAAACAGCTGTCAGCCGCTGACGCGAAGCTAACCAAAAAGATAGCCTGTGCCAGAGTCCACGTAGAGAGAGTCATTCAAAGGGTGAAGCAGTATAGTGTCTTAAAAAACAAGCTGCCCTGGAGCATGATGCCATATGTTAACCATATCTTCACAGTCATTTGTGGACTCACCAACTTGTCACCGCCAATCTTGGCAGATGACAAGTTCTAGTGTCGCCTTGATGCTGGTCATGATCACATGATGTGTCAGTGAGTACCTTGTTGTTTATGGCACTCAGTGGTGTTTCATTCACATGAGAAATACTACTGCTGGCAACTCTGACATGCTGTGCTATGAATACATTTGCAATCATGAGGCACTTTGGACTTTTTCTTCTGTGGGCTGTATGAGAAAATGTCACAATGATCAGTGGCAAAAATCACTATTCAGTTGGTTGGTAACAAGACAAATGTCACAAGTCATACACATGTATTGACAAGTATTCAGTCATACACTTGGTGACAAGACGAATGTCACAAGTCATACACATGTATTGACAAGTATTCAGTCATAAACTGCTGCACTGCACAACCAAGTAGCCTGGTAGGTGCCCTACTCCTCACTGGCGAGCAAGATGTGGAAGGAGGATGTCGAAGTAAACTGAATACAAGGTACCAACCAGGCTACCCAGGTATCCATCATCACGCTCGACCTGGATTATGGCGATGTCACCCATGCCTGCCAGCACCAAGTCGCAAGAGTTCACCTTCAGGATAGCCATGCCTAACTGCACCTGGCCATAGTACTGGTGGTTTTTCTTCAGGGTAGCATTTTCACCATCAACGTCTAGCCAGCGCACCTTTCTCTCACTGATGATGTCTGCTGCCGACATAGTTTTGCCACACACAGGGCTTTTCACTTCCACCAGTCGCACCGCCTGACCGTCATGCATCACAACGCCATCTGGTGAGCATCCAAGCCATGGACAGCCTGGCTGTACAAGGAGCCCACACGTCACAAGCTTTCCCTGACAAACACCCTCATACAATTCCAGGGCATGCTTCTCTGCTTTGATGCCATGCGCAGTTGCACTGTTCCCCGCCCAGCATTGGGCCTTTTCCAGACTCCTCAATTTTTGTTCCCAGTCCCCACCCCTTTTTGAATAAGTCATGAGGCTATGGCAGACAGAACCAGTGATCCTCACTTCTCTTTCGCGACGCCACATCTCTGAACCCTGAGGAGCTAGGGCAATGTTAACAGCCTTCTCAGTGGTCACTGTGACACGCTCATCATAAAACTTCCTGACCTCTTCCTCCAGGTCTGGCTCACCACAGGAGATTGCACCGCTCGATACAAGAAGTGTGACATCTTGGCGCTTTCCATCCAGAGCATCACACACACTTTGCTCTGGCTCACTACCATGACCGCGTTCGAACAGGGCCAGCGCTGAACCAGGAGCAGCTCGTACCAGTTCTTCCAGAGCAGATCCAGCACTGCTCTGTCTGGAGGGAACTGGTACTACATTCACATGGCAGAAGTCTGCAATTCTTTTGCCCTCATATGGATGCTTCCCACCTGTTTTCCATTTTTTCTTTAGGTCAGTGGTTGAAAGCTCCTCCAGGTCATTGATATCATGCCTGCAACAAAGTAGAACTCTGTCAGTAATTGCACAGGCATATCAGTCAGGGAAATTGTGGTTATTTTTTAAACTTTCCATTTCTGGAAAGCTGTTCCAAAATGTAAACCAGTAGCGGGTTCAAGGCCATCTATGGGTTTCCCACTCTATTAAGTTCCTTAAAACCAGATGTTTTTTTTTAGTTTGGACTGGTGAATCAGACTGGTGCTATGCCAGCCCAGCCAGGTCAGAGTATAACAGTAAGTAGAGCAGTAAGTAACAATAAAAATTACCTGTTGATGTAGACTAATGTAGCTGCAACATGCTTGCAGGCACCAGCCAGGCCAGCCTTGCATGAGCACAATGCACCCTTGATGCATCCGCTCCTGCTCAGAGTGACTCGTATCTCATGAGGAGGTGCCTTCAGATTCGATGTTTGCAGGCACAAAGAGCAAATCACAACATCTTCGGTTTTGTCGGTTTTGTTTGATGAGTCAACACCACAACAAAGTAAGTGCTTACTGTTCAGGATCGACTCTCCCTCCTTCAGACAGCGCACGCGACCTTCCTTGTACCCCTGAAACTCTGCCTCCAAGAAATCTAAAATGACGTCTAGTCCAAGATGAAAAGGCATGCTTTCTTCTTCTTAGGCCGCTATTACAATATTCCCGATATTCTTGAATCAACAAACACCATCCAAAGTCCTCCAAACACCTCAACGACCCACACAAATCCACGCAATCCACGCATCAATCCTAACGTTCGACGCATCTGCGCCAAGTTCGGTATCCTATTTCCTCACTAGCGCCACCCCTAAATTGCGGACAGTGCACGAGGCGAATAGCAGGCCAGTCGGCTGGACACCGCCGTCCCATAGCAGGCCACCAGCGCCTCTGAGCGTCTGTCGCCGCCATACTCGGTCGCTGTGTATCGGCGCACCCCGGCCGGCGACAGGGGCGGGAGAGTGACACGACCCAGCCGCCTCCGCCGCCGCCGCCCCTGGACACTCCGCCACTGCACTGAGGACGGCAGCGGCGGCAGTGGTGGCGGAGAGCAGTCGCAAGTATACACGTGTCGACGGACCGTTTCTGGAATCCTTGCACATGTTTATTTAGCGAAACACGGCTTATTTGTGGAAGCGAAACCCGAGAGTCGCGTGCCTGGCTAGGCTGAACGATCGTCCTTGGGCAAAATCCTACTGAAACGAGTAACGACCCACAGTTAGTGAACAGTATGTGCACCACAGAGCCATCACGCCGTCCATTGCGTAGACCAGCCTCTCTTGAACTGACCGCAAAAAACGACGGTTGGTTTGAAATGTCACCAGACATCATCTGGATATCAATGATGGGTGTCAGCCATGTCTCTTTTGCAAGTAACGCAGTACAAATTGGGCGTGTTCTTCCCGCGAAGATGTTGCTGATAACTTGCCAGTCATCCTTGCAGCGAGGGTACCAGAAAACCGCGTCTCTGAAACACGGGACTGGAACGTTTCACTTCAGAGATAGCATCGTAAGCCGTGCAGGGTAAAAAAATGAACTTATCTTATCGCATATTCCAGTAGCTCAGCGCACCGCCATTTCGCGATCGTTTTCGGTCGATAGACGTTTGCTTTGAGAAATGTTAGGAAGAATGATGGGCGCAGTCACCTTATGGACAGGTCGACTCTTCTTGTGCAATAGGGTGTGTCATCAGTAACAGAACCAAATGCCGTAAAGAAATTCCTTGGCACTGAGACCTGCAAACACACGGCATAGCAACCGTTTTTGCAAAAAATTAAAATTCGTGCGGCGCCAGCCGTTCAAAGTTTTGGCGCCCGGCGTTGCAGTCTCCAATGCTGAGCGTCACCCAGCACTGCGAGTAACACCAAGTATTGCAGCAGGTAATAATGCAAAATAGCTACCGCTGAAAATGATGCTTTTGAGCGCTTCTAAGGCTGATTGTTGCAAAAAGCATGTCATTAGAGTGTCCAATTACTGTTTTTATTGTGCTCAATGAATTAAATCGAGCATTGCTACTGAAACTAATGAAAAAACTGCCCGATTTTGAGAAGCGGGCGGGGTGGAACTGGAGGCGGAGACGGGAAGTGACTCAGATTCGTCTTCTGAAAACACCGACTCCGTGGCATCCTTTGGGCGGTGCTTCTTCTTCTTCTTCTTCTTCAGCATGTCATCTCGTGTGACCCGGCCCGTCTCCACCAGGATGTCCCGGATGAGTCTAGCCTCGGTGGAAAGGATCTCCCTCAGCGTCGGCAAAGGGCCCCACGGGCGGGTCCGTGGCCCCTGGTAGGCGGGGTAGTCGACCAACAGGTGTTTGGCCGAGTCCGGTTCGTCGCAACGGACTTTCTCGTCAGACTCGGCCGGACCAAGTCGGAATCGGGTGTCTCCGGTGAGTGGGGAGCAGCTCACGCGGAGCTGTGCCACTGTGATCGACGCTCGGCGGCCCAGTTCTCTCTCCGTGGCCCAGAGCGCCACATCGTCCGCATTCGCAGATGTGTACCTCCAGTTCCCGAGCCGCAGTTATAGCCGGTCATACGAGCCTGCAGGGTTAGCGTCCGATGGCTGCGTTGGTCCTTCAGGAAGACAGCCTCCTGCTGAGTGACTCAGTGGGCGATGAGATTTGTGCACCTGCTCTGAGAGTTACACTTGCATTTGGCGATATCCAGGAGTTGTTGAATTATGCAGTGGCGGCGCTTTGTTCCTTCCTGTGTCTCTGGTGTTTTGTTCAGAAGTCTGTAGGGCTGTCTGTAGGGCTTATAGCAGTCCCTTTTGATCACTTTCGTCGTGTGTTTTACATAGATCGCGAACAGGGATTCCTTCATTAGTTCAGAGTTGCCTTGTCCTTTTTTTCGCCACCGCCCTAAATGCACTATTTGTTGGATTTCTTCTTTGAGCACTCAGCCACCTGACATAACTGAAGGCCTCTGCTTTAGTCAGCAGTCGCTGTTGGGACAAAAGTGCCGGCTGTCCTATCACGAAATGTTTTGTACGCGGCCGTGTCACTTTCGGCAGGGCCCTATGCTATCCGGATCATAATTCACGAGGCGAAAAAAAACGTAGCTAATTAGGAAATGCCCATACGACAATTATAGCACGACACAGGGAACCAGCAAAGCGCCGCCACTGCATAATTCAACAACTCCTGGATATCGCCAAATGCAAATGCAACTCTCAGAGCAGGTGCAAAAGTCTCATCGCCCACAGTCACTCAGGAGGAGGCTGTCTTCCTGAAGGACCAGCGCAGCCATCGGACGCTAACCCTGCAGGCTCGTATGACCGGCTATAACTGCGGCTCGGGAACTGGAGGTACACATCTGCGAATGCGGACGATGTGGCGCTCTGGGCCACGGAGAGAGAACTGGACCGCCGAGCGTCGATCACAGTGGCACAGCTCCGCGTGAGCTGCTCCCCACTCACCGGAGACACCCGATTCCGACTTGGTCCGGCCGAGTCTGACGAGAAAGTCCGTTGCGACGAACCGGACTCGGCCAAACACCTGTTGGTCGACTACCCCGCCTACCAGGGGCCACGGACCCGGCCGTGGGGCCCTTTGCCGACGCTGAGGGAGATCCTTTCCACCGAGGCTGGACTCATCCGGGACTTCCTGGTGGAGACGGGCCAGGTCACACGAGATGACATGCTGAAGAAGAAGAAGAAGAAGAAGAAGCACCGCCCAGAGGATGCCACGGAGTCGGTGTTTTCAGAAGACGAATCTGAGTCACTTGCCGTCTCCGCCTCCACCCCGCCCGCTTCTCAAAATCGGGCAGCTTCTTCTTTAGTTTCAGAAGCCATGCTCGATTTAATTCATTGAGCACAATAAAAAGAATAATTGGACACTCTAAGGACATGCTTTTTTGCAACAATCAGCCTTACAAGCGCTCAAAAGCATCATTTTCAGCAGTAGTTATTTTGCATTATTACCTCCTACAATACTTGGTGTTACTCGCAGTGCTGGGTGACGCTCAGCATTGGAGACTGCAACGCCGGGCGCCAAAACTTTGAACGGCTGGCGCCGCACGAATTTTAATTTTGGTGGACTCGGATATGGATGAAAATTCATTATTGATCAATGTGCCAAGGAAAAACCTTACGGCGTTTGATTCTGCGAGAATCACCCCCTCGATGACACACCCTATTGTGCAATGTGTGGTCTGCTGACGCGGGCTTGCCATTAGCGATCACGAGATAACTATGAGAGAAGAGAAGTGGTGGCGTCAGCTTGGATAAGTCCATTTCCTACATCGCTGAGCCTCATGATGAAACGAGGCCAGGCGACAGGGCATAATGGGACCAAAAGAAGGTGTTTGGTGTAATCCAACTAGCACTCATATCTCATCAGCCGATCGTATGAAACAAACGGGCATAAAGCTCTGTAACAGCAGGATTCCGTCGGCTCTCAGTCCGGACCGAGCATCTGGACCCGCTCCGAGTCGGCAGTGACGGGCTGCGACCGGGCCCAGTCGCCTTACCGGCTCGCTGATTGATTTATCGCCAGAGTGTGAGGCGCATGGAGCACGCTAACACGGCAATAAGTCAGCGGCGGCTCGGCAGGTGAGCCGGGCGGAGCGGCAGCTCGGCAGGCCAGCGGGGCCAGACGGAACGGCAGCGACGGCAGACCAGCGGAAACAGACGGCAGATGAGCGGTACCAGACGGAGAGGCGGCGGCGACGGACGGTCAGGGGCTGCCGCTGGCCATGGAGCCCATGGAACTGGCAGAGTGGGCAGCCAGCCGTCTAGGTAACCACTAGCCACCACGAACCAGCCGTCACGGCGCCGGAACCACCAGCCGCCGCGGTACCCTCCGGAGTCTGCCGCAACTAATACAGAGCTGTTACCGCCGCCAGCGGAGCGCGAATGTGCGCGAATGCCGGAAACCAGCTGATGAGACCACCGCCGCATGGCACCCTACTGCGGTCGCCAGGCGCATGGGTATTGGGTAAGCTCACATAGAATGCAGTTAAAAATGTGAGATCATCTTGCACAACTAGGTAAAACTTGGTTGTCTTATAAGCTACGGGGTACGAACGATTCCAACACAGCTACACAATTATGTCTACTTCAAAAAACCTGCGGTTATTTGTCTACACAGACGTTCCGAAGGGGCTAAGCCCATCCGTCCCAGAGTCCCCAGCACTCAGGTCAACGTTCGCCCTTGGTCTGGCAAATGATTCCTATCTAGGTAGGCACCAAATAGCTAGGGCAGCTTTATTTCTCTTTGTTCTTACCACAAAGCCATTAAGCTCGGCTCAGTCGGCACAGATACTACGAATCTGTAAAGAGATCTACGTCTCGATCATGAGCACGTCAAGACGACTCAGATTTTCTTGACCACTTCCATAATTAAAGTCGCACCTCCTAAGAGCTGACAGCCAGCCGAGACGATGACCAAAGTGTCTCGCTCTATTTAAATAAATTGCTACATCAAATAAGGGTTGAGAGCGGGAAAGAGAATACATTAATCTGTGACGGCGTCGGGATATTGGGCAACGAACAACGACAAACACTATGCAGTAGGCGTGAAAACTGCATGCATAAGCGAAGCCCTTACCACTTCAATTCATTCACTATTTCACCGCGACCGGTCGGCTAAATCATATGCAGCCAATATCCATTCAAGATGAAATATATTCTTATTTCTATGGTTACCAATATTCATGAAGAGTGCTAACCCAGATCACTCCGAAGAGCTATAATATTAACGCGTATCTGAAACGTAAAGAAAACACTTACATCGTTAAAGGGACTATCCAACCTTTAACATGGGGTTTGAGTTGAGATAGCCAAGTTTGCGGCGAGGTTCAGAAACCACTATCTATCTAGGTTGCAACCCCCGCGGCCT